TATAAATAGCTTTGAAGCAAGTTTGCCTAAGCTTCTTTGTTCCTTCTGTCAATTCCATATCTGGCAATTTCTCCATCATCTTCTTGTGCCCTTCTAACGTCTCTATCTCCTCCTTTAATCCCAACTCCTAGTTTTTTTTAAAAAAAGGTAGATGCAATATATTTTTCGTGTGAGTTCACAAAATTTACAATGAGTTAAGTTTATATAAATATAAATCAGGAAATCGTAGTAAATCAATTGATTTGATGTGGAATATGCCTAGGGCCATTGTTTATGTTATAAAGAAACTAATAATTAAAATTTTAGAAAATACCAAAACTACTTTGGTTACCAAGTGCAGGCATGCATGCATGAGTAATGTATAGAAGGTTATTATCGTAATTTACCTTGGCATTTTGAATGAGGGATTGTAGGCTCGTAAGTTTTCTATGAGGCCATCTGTTTATGTTTAGCTCTCTGCATCTTTTCTTCAACAATGTTAACCCTATCCCTAGTTCCTTTGCTGCCATGATTATCGGCATCTCAAAGTACTTCGCTATCTCTTCAAACTCCAATGGTCTCAATCTCTTTGCCACCTTCCGGCCACCGTGATCAGTGGTGGCAGCACTAGAACTACATGTAGCCTCACCACCGGATTTACAGTCTTCACTGAAACTAACCAATGGTAAATTACCATCCTCCCAACAATCCCATAAGCTTATGTCTTTAAGGGGATCTAAATCGTGAAACTCATTTCTAGAAATGATGTTTTGATCTTTGTTAAGTACTGTGGAAACGTTCTGATCGAGCACTTCATGCAATTTTTCCGACAACTCGTAATCATGATGGTCAAGGATGTCACCACTGCAAAAATCCAAAAAAAAAAAAAAAAAACTTAAGATAATCAAATCCAACACGATGAAAGACTCTTTTTGATCACTACAAATCCAAACCATGTTTTGATCAATGTCGACAAAATCACTTTTCTGTGTGGAATGTGATGATTTATATAAGTGAAGTGGGAGAAGTAATTAATAGCAAGTTGTGGGAATGCAACAAAACAAGTTAAGCACTTCTGAAAAATTGATAAATGATTTCGGTAACACTCGCGGAATATAAACTAGTGAAAATTACAAACGAAAATTGAATATATATAGTCTATGATGTTATGGTTATTGTGTATCTAACAAATGAAGAAGAAAATGAATATATATATTCTTTGAGCCGTAACCGTCTTCTTCAATTCACACACATATCCGTATATGGTGCTGAAAATTATGACTTGTGTGCCTCATGCATTTAATGCATCACATGCCTACTGCATATTCTTGACTTTGAAGCTACGTACTAGTTTCCAATTTCCCCAGTAGCACACTTTTCATTAGAAAGTACTCCAAGTCTTCACGCATGTAATTTATGACTTGTGTGTCGCTATAGGTAGGGCCCTTGTTAAAAACCTATAGCGACAACAAGTCATCGTAATAGATTAAACCTGTGGTGACAACGAGTCGTCGCTATAGGTAACTAATAAAACAATAGTTTAACCCCGAAGATATGATTGACAAAATCTATCCGACGAGACCCTCGTGATACCTCGTGACGAAATTGAAATCAACGAGAGTCTCCACTTCGTGGAAGAACCGGTAGAAATCATGGATCGAGAGATCAAAAGAACAAAGCAAAGTCATATTCCCATTGTGAAGGTCCGCTGGAACGCTAAACGAGGACCCGAATTCACCTGGGAACGCGAGGATCAGATGAAACAAAAGTATCCACATCTCTTCCCAAACTCTCGAAATCCCAGTCAAAATGAAAATTTCGGGACGAAATTCCTTCTAACGGGGGGATGATGTGGCAACCGTCAAATTTCGGTCAAGGCAAAGTCAAACTAAGTCAACAAGTCAAACCGGTCAACTCCCTTAACCCTTGTATATGTTAGGGTTTACGTTATGTAATAACTGTACAATTCTCTACTTTAATGAGAAAACATCATTTGGAAAATTCGTGTGTTTGATTTTCCTTAGCCTTTACAGTGCTAAACAACATTGGAAATTTAATAAACCCTACTCAAGATTACTTGACGCTAATAGGATCAAAACCCATACACTACGATATAAATTGACGTTAATAGCAACATAGTATAGTACAACGTTATAACTATAATCCAATTAAATTATGATAGCATATTAAAATCAAATCAAAGTATAATGCTCTAATTAAATTAAAAGAATCAAACTTGAATACTATAATTAAACTTCAAATCAAAGTAGATTGTTATAATCAAATAATAACCTATCTTTTATAAAACTCTATTTTTATAAACTTTACTTTAAATTTTATAAAACTCTTATATTAATTATGTAAAAGATGTTTGTGTTAGTGGGAAATTATGAAGACCACCAAAAGCAAAAAGATTATTCCCATGGTCTCCCACTCACACCTCCCATCCACTTTCCTTTCCTTTTTCTCCCAACACATTATTCTCTTCACCACTTAAACCTTCTCTATTCTTTCTCTCACTCTCAATCTCGAAATTTCCTCCAAGAAATACTCATATTGCATCCAAGAACAATCTATTATATTCAAATCTTCATCCCTCTTGAAGCATTCATCAAGGTATGTTGTTAAAAGTTTCAAATTCATACAAGAAACAAATTAAATCCACCAAAATATCTAAAACTCATTTTATGCATAAATCTGATTTTTCTCAGAATACCATCAATAAAATAAGAAGTTCTGGAAATTTTCAAAAAATAACTTAGTTTTATTGAATTATTATAATTATTGCAATAAAGTAGGGCAATAATTCACATAAAATACTTGTTGCATTCAACAAATTCTGAGAAAATTCTGGGATGACCTATATATTGATTAAACATGATATATGAAGTTTCATGCATTTATATTACTGTTTACTATTATTTATGATTTTATTGATTAATTAATAATGAAATATATAAAAAATACTTCCCATAGTCACAAACATCTAACACTTATACACTGGGCTATATATCATGTTATAAAACTATGGTTTATTTTATAGAAGTTTTGGGAATAATTTACTATTTTTCCCGAATTTTGTGTTGTTTAATCATTAAAATATTAAATAAATACTAAAACAGTTCAGAAAAATATAAAATTTTTACAGTAATTCATATTGTATGAAATAATGATTTTCTAATAATTTCATATTTTTTCAACACTGTTTACTATTTAAAACCATTTTCCTAAGTATTTAAGCATGTAAAAATGCATTTTAATGATTATTTCATATAAATTATTGTTAAAATCTGTAAATAATTATAATTGGGCAAGTTATTATTTTAATAAGAAATTATTAAAATCTGGCATAAATTGAAAATATAAATTAATTATGCAAAGTAATTAATTCAATTTAAAATTCATTTAACAAATAAATACCTTAATATTATAATCAAAATGAATGATTGTTAGGTTAAGAATATGTGTCTAATTATTTGTATTAATACTTCATTCTCGTTTAGCAGTTCCTAAACCAAAACTATTAATTATATTAGGTTCTACGCCATTTTGACCCGAACCGTCTATCGTACGACACACGCATTTCGTTTTGGGACTAAAGTGAGTAATCTATCCCATATTTTATAATTTTCAATACTTTTGGGGTGTATCATGTGGTTCTAATATGTTCCAACTTCATTTTATTGTTTTATCACAATTGAGACATTGTTGGGACATTTGTATGTGAGTCATTAATTGTATAACTATTGTTTGTTTACGCTACATGTACTTGTAGTGCATTATCATTTTTAGTTTAATCTCCATGACTATGCCCGTATTCTTGAGGTACGTTATGGACAATAATAGCGCTATTGGGTTGACCACCCCGCCTTGGGACGCTAAGGTGATTGATCGCACGTGGTTGAGTGTGTTTGATGATTAGATGCTTCATCCTATATATATTTATATATATACATATGTATATATAGGGTGAGGACTTATTGTTGTTGTTATCATTTGTTAATCAATTTTTGATTTATAAACCGTTATCTCAAATACAATTGTTTGCCGACTTCAAAAGAAAACAAATTTCAAATTATAAATGTTTCAACTTCACAATTTTCTCTACTAAAATTAGATTACTCACCAACTCTCGTAGTTGACCTGTTTTTACCCATGATGCAGATTTGAAGAATGAAGTTGATGAAAAATAGGTTGTGCCTTAGAAATCCACAAGACTATTTAAATTTGATGTAATAAATGTTGTTCGTATTTGGATTTGTATTTGTATGTTGTGGATCTTGTTTGCTTACTTAGTACTTAATTGAATCTAATCATATTATAACATAGTTGTCATGAGACTTTGAACAATATATCACGCCTTGATCGATTCCGACAAGGATCGGGGTGTGACACCTGAGAGTAGGGCGCTCCCGAAGAAAAGCTCCGCCTTGCCTGGGGCGCCTTTTGCTCCAAGAGAAATGCAACGGTTATGAGACGATGTAGATGCTCAGAGCATTACCGCCGAAACCAATCGTTGGCCCGGACAGATTCAGGAGCACGATCCGCCAATAAGCGTCCCATATCCTGTCAGGTCTGACACCCTTGTGCTGTACAGACTAGCAGGAGGATCCAGTATAAAAGGTCATCCTCGATGCCTTGAGAAGTAAGTGATTCCCTCCCAGTTTACTCTCAACTCAACCCTAGAGAATATCCACTGACTTGACCGTCAGAGCGTTTTCCCGGAAACCCCTCCCAGAGAACGGCTGACGACCTCTTTTTATTGTGACCTCGTAGGTTCGCAGGAATGACGAAGCCCGGAGAATATCAGAGCAGAATTCCTTGTCACATCATTTGGGACAATCTGTCGTGTGACGAAAAACAAACCAAAAGCACACCATTCATCAGAGAAAAATGGCATCCGGCAATATAGGAGGAACCAGTGGAACGCCAACCAGCCCCGTTCGGCCTATGGCGTTGCTGGAGCAAACCCTACCTCGCCTCCTGCAATATTCACCAGAGAAACGTCAAACGAAGGCGGTTCAGCAGTAGTTGTCGTACCACCGACTGGACAAAAGCAACCGACTGGTGGAGGACAACCTCCTTCTGCTGCCGTGTGAACAACAAGCATTCTGACACCAGCGTGGGAAACCACAGTGCCATACCGACTCTCTTTCAACAATCATCGACAAATCAGGTGACAGGTGCTCAGCCGGTGGTTTTCCAAACACCGCCACCGCTGAACCAGATGATAGGCACACAAGTGGTGTTTTTCCAGACAACACCACCGCCAAACTAGACGATAGGAATACAACCAACGTCTCTCTCGTCACCAATAGCCCAGATGGCGGGAGAAGTGCCAGTGGCTCTCCAAATGCCACCGCTAGGCCAGGCAGTGAGAAATCAAAAAATGGCCTTCCTGGCGCCCCCATTTCCAACAAATATCCCTCTTCCCTCTACGATCCCACATTACCAACAGATTATCCCTAATACTGTCTACCCCAATGCTAAGCTTACCATTTCCACACCAAGCATTATATAGGACGAACCGTAGCCATTACTCACCCTAAAATAGTAAGATCATGCATCCACATGCCATGGCTCAACAATACAACTCATAGGGTGATCTCCCTATGCCAAACCAAAATTGCTAATTGCGTGCATCCACATGCTAAGCTTCCCTCCCTCTTTTCTCAGCCCCCCTTTTTTTTTATCCCGCGTATTTTTTTTACTCCTTTTTTTTCAGCCATTTTTAATAAAAAATTATTATTTTTTTAACAACAATTATTTTTATTTAGCTAATTTTTTTTCACACCAGTTTTTTTATTTAGCTCATTTTTTTATTTAACACCAATTTTTTTTAAAAACCAATTATTTTTTTAACATCAATTTTTGCCACAACCGAACCTTGGATTGTCACATTGGTTCCTTTCATGCCGATTATTTTGGAAGATTACTTCATACCACAATCGGACTTCATATGATTCTTTGTGATGCTTGCACCGCAACGGCGATTGATCAACAAATTTGTTTCACATTCTTCACTTTATGGGATTTTATGACTTGGCGCTCTTGATCTTTGGTTGACGAATCATGTATCTTGAGCATGTGGGCTTTATTTTCTATTGAAGACCACTTCGAGAGTTCCGACTCCACAGTTTGGGTATTTTGGTAGATTTTCGGCAAAAGAGATTATTTTCTCATGCAGAGTGATTCTTCTTTCTATGGTATTTTGTTCGAGCAGCTTCAGCAACTGAATCACCCATCTTCTCATGACCGCAGAGTATCTCTTTTACTCTGTTTATTGTGTCTTATCGAGACCCTTCATACATCTAGGGAGAGCTATCTAAGCTCTTGGTATCCGACACTCTCCATCCGATGATTTGTTGATTTTTGATATCCGGTAATTGGTTATCAAAAATAGGGAGAGAATATCATCCGAATTTGGTTCTTATGATTGTTTGAGTTTGGATTTTTGAAGACTTCTGAAGGCGATGATTTATTTAGTGATGCGACATGGCACTTATTTTTGGTCTTCACGGATCAAAATTTTGGAATTACTAGATGTTTCCCGGTTCCAGATTATTTATTATTCGGACTCCATCACAGGATGATTCTTTGTGTTTGCATCTGGTTCAAATACTATGATTTCTCGAGTTTGGATTTGTGATATTTTGAAGATGAAGATTATGTTGGCGATGTGACGTGGCACTTATTTTTGATCTTTTGATCAAATTTTTGGTATTGCTGGACCATGTCTTTGGACTCACGTTATTTATTATTCGGACTTCATTTTTTGGATGCTTCACATTTTTAGCAGGTTATTCTTTGAAGAATTTTGGTGTATTATGATTCAAGAACTCGAGATGTTTTTCAGACTTTTTGAAGTCGAAGTGTTACTTTTATTGGATCTTCTACTTCCTCATGGTGATATTCTTCTTGTTCATGGCGCTTATGACTAGTTTGAAGATTTGGATCTTATTTTTCTGCTTCATTAGTGGTGCTTTGAAGCCGGAGATCTATTTTGTTTAGAGATTCATGGCCAGTTTCAGTCATCACAGACACTTCAGAGTTTCAGAGACATTTCAACATTTGGTTCTCATTATGTTTCATTTTATTACCACACTTGCTAGTCGGATTACTGTATTATAGCCTTGTATCACTTATTGTATCCCTCATCACTTATAAGCATTTAGGGAGAGAATGTTGGAGCATGGAAATGCTCTAAAAAATATGAGTGATAGTTAGGTTATTTATTTCTCTTTATTGTATTTTAGGTGTATTTTCTCTCCTTACTATATAAAGGGAGAGGTGGTCACTTTTCTTATGAGAACTTTCTAAAAATGTAACTTTCTAGAGAGAGAGAAATTGGTGGGATCTCTACCACCTAGGGAGAGTTTTCTCTCCCACCAATGTTCTTAATGTAATATTATTTTTATATATCTTTTCTTTCTTATCTTTCAATAATTCTCATCATATCTTCTTCATGGTTATATTTTACACACGATAAATCTCGAGATATTTTTCTTTCGCATCCACCGTTCGTATAAAAAATGGGTTCCTCCACTACGAAATCCCAAACCCAGCAAAGTTGCCACACCTAAAGACCTATAACAGAACCACATACCCTGATAGCTATATCGACACGTACGAGTGGACGATGACATCGCTCAAGCTGGATGAGCGATTCAGGTGTATGTACTTCCCAACAACCCTGGACAACAACACAGGAACGTGGTTCAAGACGTTGAGAACAGGAAGCATATACAACTTTGGGCAGTTGAAGTACCTATTCTTGACAAATTTCATGCAATTAAGGAAGTACAAGGGAGATTCACACTCAATCATTGGTTGTAAGTAGAAGGAAGGAGAAATAGTCAGAGAATACTTCACTAGGTTCACCAACGCCACGCTAGATGTTACGGGCCATGATGAAGGCTTAATAGGAGGTGCCTTCACATGGGGCCTCTTGTCAGGCCCTTTATCTCAAAAGCTCATGGGGAAGCAGCCACAGACACGAGAAGATTTAAAAGAGAAGGTGGAATGATATCTAAGGCAAGAAGAAGGGGAAGCGACAAAACAAGCATATCTAAACGCCATGACCGCCTCGGCCACGAAACGCCACAGCTCGCCACCTTACCCAGCAACCCAAAGCGGAAGCAGACACTTTGGGCGGGGGAAGAATTTTTAGGGACGCCTTAGGCCATTCCCAAGAGACGAGAGACGAGGCAGGGGGCCGAACGTCTATGCTATCTCTGACAAACAACCAACAAAAGGGGTGAAAGTACAATTCTACGAATACTACAAAAGCAAAACTCACGACACAGTCAATTGCTCGGTGTTGAAGAGAGAGATAGAAGAGAAACAACTGAAGGGAAACCTCGTCGAGGTGGCATGAAGTCTTCACACCAAATTCGACGCTGAGAACGCCACAGACGCAACAAGATAGTGCAACCAACCCCAAGAAATACTGATGATGCAGTCCAAGTGGGAAAGGAAAGAAGAACATGATGACATGGAGGGTCTCACCTGGTCAATGCACGGGCTGACATTTTCAGTAATGGACCCCGATCCGAAAGGATGGCGGTGCGACGAGCCACTCATAATTCAAGGGTCTATCAAGAATGTGACGGTTCACAAGGTATACATTGACACCGGCAGCTCGACGGACATCATTTACGAACACTATTTCCGCCTCCTCCCCGACAGATGGAAGGAGAACCTCAAACCTACCACGGGAAGACCGACAGGATTCATAGGGCACAACCTATGGCCTCTTGGCACAATTCATCTGCCTTTCACATTGACCAGTCACGACAAAGCAAGAAAAAAGACCGCCCAAATAGACTTCGTTGTGATAAGGCATCCGACATAACACAATATCATCCTTGGGAGGATAGCCCTTCTCAAATTTGGGGCGGTCCTGTCAACAATGCACGAGATTGTAAAATTCAGCACCATAGAAGGGCCGGGAACAGTCCTTACGACGCCACTAGGGGAGCTACGGTGTTATGAGATCATGCAACCGACAAAAATAGTGCAGGAAAAAAAGAAATTGTGTTTCGAGCCAGCAAGCGACAAAGAAATCATAAACAAGGAATACCCGGATCAGTCGGTTAGTGTCGGTAGCAACCTTCTCCCAACTATGAGACAGACGTTGATCAACCTCCTGAAAAGATATAGACATATTTTTGCTTGGACTCCCACAGATATGGTAGGGGTAGACAGAAAAGTTATAGAACACAAGCTCATGACCAAACCGGACACAAAGGAAACATAACAAAAGAAAAGGGTTCAAGGGGGGTGACCGGAACAAGGCAATCATGCTGAAGTCGCCAAGCTGACAAAGGCAGGAATCTTCAGAGAAGCGATCTTCCCAACTTGGATTGCCAACCCCGTCATTGTAAGAAAGCATGATCGCTCATGGCGCATGTGCATCTATTATTCTGATCTGAACAAGGCATGCCCCAAAGATTGCTACCCCTTACCAGAAATTGACCAAAAGGTGGAATCCTTGCAAGGCTTCAAACTAAAGTGCTTCATGGATGTGTACAAAGGGTACCATCAGATTCTGATGAGCAAAGAGGATGACGAAAAGACAGCTTTCTACACAGATCATGGGGCTTTCTGCTACACCAAAATGCCATTCGGATTGAAAAACGCAAGGGCAACTTATCAGCGACTAGTCGACTCCATTTTCGCCAAACAAATTGAAAGAAATATTAAAGTCTATGTTGACGATATGGTCATCAAAAGCCCCAATGAAAAGAAGTTACTAGACAACGTGGAGGAAACTTTCAAGAGACTGGAGAAACTTAGGATGAAGTCGAACCCTAGCAAGTGCACCTTCGGTGTAAAGGAAGGACAATTCTGGATATACTACATTACTAGGAAAGGGATACAGCCAAGCCCGGTCAAAGTCGATGAATTCATGGAAGCGCCATCCCCAAACACCATGCGAGATGCCCAGAGATTGAATGGAAAATTGACAGCGTAGAGCCGTTTCATTTCCAAGTCAGCAAAGAAAGCTTTGCCGCTCTTTCGCATCCTCAAGGGGTATATTGAAAAAAGCAACTTCCAGTGGAGGGTGGAAGCAGAAGCAGCGCTTCAGCAGATTAAAGAGGCCCATCACGCGCTACCCACGCTAGCTAGCCATGTTCCAGGAAAAACACTACAAGTATACCTCTCAGCCTCAGAAGAGGCCATATCATCGGTTCTGGTCGTGGAGAGGGAAGGTAGGAAGGCGTCGATGTACTTTGTCAGGCGTGCATTACAGGGTCCTGAGAGAAATTATCCCATCCTCGAAAAACTAGTGCTCGCACTTATCTATGCAGTGCGACACCTGAGGCGCTACTTTCAAGCACACCAGATAGAGGTGCTAACAAACTTCTCGATCAAACAAAAACTCCTCAAACCAGAGACGTCTGGGCGG